AAGCAGCGCAGGAAGGCTGCGGGGCTGGAGGTGACTCAACCGCCCGGCGTGAATGTCCCGCCCGATACTGCCACAGTCCAGGTATCCGCCCCCACGTCGGTGCCAGCCTCACCTCCACCGGCCCTGGCCCCAACAGAGCCAGGCTGCCCCTGTGTCCACGCCAGACTCCCCTCCACGAGCCCCTGCTCCCACAGAGCCAGGGCCGCTTGCCAGGCAGTGCCTCCATCACCTTTATTCGGCCTTGCCACCATAGACCTGGGGCTTCCTCCCATGGCAGTGCCATCCCGCCCTGACTGGTGCCTGTCCCCCCATTAATGTCCTCACCATCAATCCAGAACCTCTGTGAACCTGGGTGTCCTGTGAATCCATGGATGCTTTGACCCCTATTGACAGGATTTCTCCAACTGATTAGTACAGAGCTAGGACTCCTCCAAGCCCCTATTTCACACTTTCTCCACTTATTGCCACCACATGATTGAGTAGCTTTCAACCCCAACTGACATGCCCTCTCTTCCATAGAGAGGTGACTGCTCTATCCCTACAGTTTCCTCACCTGACCCAACAGAGCCAGTGCTCCTCTAAATCCCAATATTTCATCAACTCCCACAGCTGCTGTCAACTGAATTTGTGTTACTTCAAATTCCAATGCCATGTTCAATATGAGCTATTCCACAGAGCTACTCCACAATTCAGTGTGCATGGGATATTTGTAACTTAAAAGTTACAAAATCTAAAAGAAGTTGAAGGACTCCACATGAAGTGAATGGCTGTATAATTATACACATACAAGCCTAAATTATTGTATTTCATGTTTGTTTTTGGCAGATTAAAAAAAATAATACAGAGGGAAAAATGGAACAGAAATTGCAAGTGTTGCAGGAACAATCTGTGGTTCGGTAAGCACTGACTTCTGTTTTGGGGGTTAGAATTGTTTTTTTTTTTAAGAATGTAGAACTTACAGTGGTAAAGTTTTAAGATGATTATTTTCCTGTGCCTTTCTTTTTTTTTTTCGATGTCTGTTATGGTTTAGTAGTCACTATTAGGTAGGGCAGCACAGATCACTCCATGGTAATTTAATAATCTACTTCCTGTCTGTCATTTATTTCGATTTTTAAAACTGTTTTAATTTATATGGACAAAAGAGAGATGTGTGAGCTATTTTTTTGAAGACCTACAAATTTTCTGAAATTTGTTTTTAAAAGAGCAGTTAAAGTTGCTTTTTAAAGTATAGATATCCAATTAATTGCTCACAAAATCCAAACTCTTAATAAATATAAACACATTTTTATCAAGTATTAAGAAATGCACTTTTCATCACATAGAACAGTCTTACCTCTGACACAAAATAAATAGCATTCTTTCATCTCTAATCTCAGTACACAACCTTTCTAAAGAAGAAATATAAATGTGTTAGATCGTGAGCCCCTTAGTTACTGACACAAATAGTACCATTTAAAACAATAAGATTTGTTGCAAAGCACTGTACTACTTAACATAAGGTTGGCAAAATCTGGCTTTGAATATGTACACATTAATGAGATATTCATCACATTCAAATACAAATCTACATACATACAGTCAGATTATGCCTCATCCTGCTCACTGCTAGAAGAGAGCAGAGGGGTTGTAAGGCATCCTTGCTCTCTTTTCTACAGTGCCATTTATCTCTGCTTTCTGTATGCAAGGGAAGCAGGCTTCACAAAACTACTCTGTCCCTGTCCTCAAAGTGCATATAAACTTGTTTCCAAACATGGAGTAGTATTGTTGATGCATCAGGAAAAATACATTATGACAAATATAGAGACCTGGTATAGTTTACTCCCTTCCAAAGCAACAGGAAAACCAAGAAAGAGATTTTGACTTTCCTTTATTATGGGTTAGAGAACAAACTAATGATCTGGCTGATAATTTATAAATAAAAAAGCTATATGATTACCCATAAAGCAACATATATAGCATTGTTAATCTCAAATATGTATAGGTATTTTATAAAAATATTCTATCTACAAATATAATTGATAGTATTTTAAATGTAAAAAAATATACAAATATTACACATTAAAAATGACATAGATAAGAATAAACATTGCTTTGTTGTATTGAAATAAGTGATTGTTTATGGTTGAAAAGAATAACATTTATGTTTTTATAGAATATATTTAAAATCCGTTAAGTTACATATGTGGTTCCATATATCTTGAATTATTGTTCTTTGCTTATATATGCTTAGATTTTGTAAATGATCTGATAGGCAAGTATAGTGATGTCACACAACAACCTCAACTTTTTTTAAATCAAATATATTGTTTTAGACTGTATTTTAAAATTAATTGAAAGGATATTTTAAGGGTCAAATTTGTTCTCATTCATATCCGTAATTTTTTACTTTATTTTATCAACTTGTGGTTTAACAGCTTTGAATGAGATTTCAGACATGTTTGCAGTTATTCACATTGCATCAAAAGCAGTTTTGATTTAAAAGTTGGAAGTTTGTAAATTTTTAGCCATATGATAGACTAATTCCTTTGGCAATAAAAAAAATCAGTCAGCCAAAATATTGCTGGTTTAATAAATAGATACTACTCTTTCTTAAAGATTTTAATATGTATAGTTACTGTGACTAGCACTGTATACATTTAGCCATTAATATCTTAGGGAAAAATATTCCCTCAACATTAGCAAGACAAATTATATAAGAGTTAGCAAAATAATGAAGATTATTTCACTGCTACAATCACTCAAAATACACAAATCACCTATTCACATATGTATATTGATAATGGAAGGAGTGTAACTGTTAAATAACTGAGCTCTGACTAATGTAATTAGGTTTTTGAGAATTCATGATTTTTATAGTTTGACAGATAATGCTGTTGTTTATTTTAAAACATTTCATTTGTATCTATTTACATTTTCATGATTATACAAACTTATGTGTTTTAAGCATTTTACAATCAATTTAGATTTTCAATTTCTGGGAAATTGTAGCGGAATGAGTGAGAAGGGAGAGATTCCAGAAGACTGGAAAAGGGCAAATATAGTGCCCATCTATTAAAAAAAGGGAAATAAGGACAACTCAGGAAAATACAGACCAGTCAGCTTAACCTCTGTACCTGGCAAGATAGTGGAGCAAATAATTAAGGGCCCCATTTGCAAACTTCTGGAACAGGGATGGGGGCCTTTTTTTGGATTGGGGCCGCTGACCCACATAAAAATCAGTTAGGAGCCGTGTACAAGAGAGAAACAAAAAAGAAAAACCAAACCCTCCCTGATGTGGCCCCTGACTGAGAAAGACAAAGCCACTCCCCACATTCTCCTTGCACACCAAAGCTTTGGGGGCCCCAGGCTAGTAGATTTTGTGTGCTCCAGCCCCAGGGTGGGATAGTGGTGGGGAGGACTGGAATGCCAGCAAAGGGGAGCAGCAGG